AGAAAGCTCTTCACCTGGCACTGAAAAGAATACAAAGCAAGCACCAGGTGCGCCTATTTGGGGAGCTCATCCCAAAAACAGGGTGCCACAACCGAAAAGGACCTTCTCCCTGGTAGCCACCTAGCTCACTTCCTTTGGAAGGGGCTCCCAAATAAGGTCCCCCAAAGATGGCCTCAAGGTCTGGGTAGGTACATATGGAAGGAATCAATCCTGCAGATAATCTGGTCCCTAGCCAGGTTATCTGTGTTTGTTCTTTTTAAAGAAAACAAAGTAGGCCTCTCTCCTCAGCCAACTGCAGTTTACAGAATTTCCTCCCCTTTAAACCATGCCCTAGCCAATACCAGTAAACTGCTCCCATGATGGTGCAGTCGGCCGATACACGTGAGGATCAGTCATCCAACACTGGGATGACCATGAGTCATGGCTGTATCTGGCCCTTCCTCCAAGGAGTCCTGAGGGTCATCCCATTCTATTGTAAGAACTTGTCTGATGCAGGTTAGAGGTTGAGAAGGTATCATGACTCAACAAAGATCTGAGCCAGATTTCCCTGGTCCAAGCCGAACTCCTATTTAAAATATCACCACTGTTTTTATTTTGAAAAGCTAATGAGAGATCTTGTCAGTTTTTGAAAATAAAAACATTCATAAGATTGCCCAGATCACTGAAAAGCAGTTTTGCTCATTCATAAAGTCACTAATACTATGGCACTGAATTGGTACAATACACTCTTATAAACCTGTTGCTTGTTATCTTCTTACACTAGCAGTGTTGTGCCCGCTGCAAAACAATCCTCTCTCAAGGACCAGCATGATTTTTTCTGTTTGTATGTACACATCCTGACTAAACCAACCAAACTTCCTCCAAGCAACCCAATGCAAGCAGGTGCTGGGACAGCTGAGGCAAGCCTAATTTTCAACACAGTATGTCTGTCGGAAAGGACAATGGTAAAATATTTGGCATCCACAACCGAGTTAAATGTTCCTCCTTCCTCGTGTGAGAAATATCATTAGCAGCAGTCATGTTACCACAGCTTTCCTGCAATTAAGCCCTTCTAATTAGACAGTGCAGCGGGGGATCCTGACCTCCAAGCCATGGGAAAGGCCCACGATTCAGTGGCAGAACACCAGCCGTGCATGTAGAAGGTTCCAGGTAGATCCAGAAAGCATCCTCCTGAAACCCTGGGGAGCGGATGCCAGTCAGTGCAGAGGGTGGGCCAAGGGTCTCACTCAGCAGGAGGTCGCATCCGCTCTTCCTAACACAACTTGCCTAAGGAGGGTGAAAGGGCTGGTAGGCAGGGACAGGCGCCAACTGCTCTGCAGCAAGTCCCACTGCAATCAGCGAGCTTAGTTCTGAACTGTGTTGTGCAGAGACACGTCACCATGCACCTGGCTAATGTAATATCATTCTTCCGACAGCATTCAGTGTGTCACGCCAGGGGGTGCACACGTTATAGACTCGTCCATATTACAAAGCAAAGGACAGCCCTGAAGCTTGGGCTACCTTGTAAAAACCTGCACTCATCTCTTTACTTTCAGGAAGCAAGACAGGCTACGTTCTGTCCACAGCTACAAGACAAGAAAAGGCTGCCTTTAAATGACCTGTTCTTCTGCCTTGCCAGCCTTGACTCACTGCAAATCCAGGGTAGCTTGGGAAGCAGAGACCGGTAGTTAGCGATTCAGTGTCCTCAGAAAGTTCAGACAGGGGATATCTAGTAGCCCAAACCAAAAAGTGGGTGACAGAACACCCAGGTTATAAATTTACTGGCTTTCAAAAAGTAAAGTGGCAAAAAATGCCCGCTTCAGTCGCAAGTAAGAGCACGCCACAATACCGTTTATGAGCTGTTCCAATCAAGAACAGGCCAGGCCTCAACGGGAGAAGCAAAAGTTAACAGCCATCACCGACACTCAGCAGCAGAATCTCATGCCTGCTTCAGCTCATCCACCACACTGATGCTGACCGATAAGTAAACTGGAGTAGGTAAAGCAGGAAACCACTCCTTTATGATCTACCAGGAAGGGCCACCACTTTGCCACCGTCAATGTGCACATCACACGAATCCACCGCACACTTGCAGCATACAGCTGCTGCCAGCCCTATTCTTTGCTCACCTCCACAGAAGCCCCGCTCAGTCTTATCAGCAAACATCAAGAACACCTTCATAACCAGCATAAACTCCACTCTTGCTCTAATATATTCCACAACATTTGATCCATGTGATTTATCTTAACATTGCCAAGCATTTTGCATCGATAATACATTTTAAACCTCTAGTCAGAGAACTTTGGCTATGGGGTGGTGCAGAAAGGAAAACAACAACCTAACTTCTACAAGTACACTGCTTGCTCATGAACACCACACATGGCCCATACACACTATTCAGAGGAGGCTACAAGGGTTTACACAATCACACCTACAATCCACCACACAGTTATATAAAGAAAGCTCCATTAAAAACCCTCAACCTGGTTTCAAGTAAATCAGTTTAGCACTGAGATGTTAAGATATTTTAATGCCCTGAGCTATTTAGCAGAACAAAAATGTCTTTTCAAGCATTGTTTCACAGAGGAACATCAGCCCCTATCCAAAAATCCAACTATATGGTTCTTAAGACAGAGACATTTGAACATTTGCAACTGAATAACAGTCACTAGATGAGCTTGCATTCCATGCTATTTCCCATGCCCCCTCAGGGAGAAAGACAAAATACTCAGCATTCTCCTAGATTTCCACAGAAGATTGCATTGCAGTAAGATTGCAAGCAGTGAATATTGCTTATTTTGCAAGAATCAATGCATCAACACTGTTTTGCCCTTCTTTATCTGCTTGAATGATTAAAATCAAAACAAAGTTCTTCAGGCCATAAATCTTATCATGAAACCTAAGCAATACTCTGGTTTCAGACAATGCAGATGCTTTCTTTGAACTTCATTATTCCCTAAATAAATTCCCCTAGTGTTATCTTCATAAACATTACGAGAGTCAAATGGGGCCCTACTCATCAGCTCACCACTTAAAAAGTGGTGGACAGCAAAAGAAAAAGCATTTCTATGAGAGATTACATCAAGCACCAGTCTAGCACACAGAATGAAGTATTTATGACTCAGCACGGGGAAGTTTCAGCTGTTTATTATCCAGCCATGTCATTACTGATTCAGTCCAGAGTCCTACTATATGCCCATTCCTAAGGGGAAAGAAAAAAAATCCTGAGCAGGCTACCTTCTTATAAAAAGCTAGAGCACAATATTCCTCCTTTTAAAGGACAGTATACAGGTCAGGAAAAAGTCCTCCCTACTTCTGGTGAGATAATTGATTCTGCAATTCTGTGTAGGCATCATGGGTGTGACTAGACCATTCCCCCAGGTAGTCCTTCCCTGCCGGAGTATTGACACAATTCAAAGAACTTCCCATACAGAAACTAGAAAGCATTTTTTTTCCCATTTGGGACATGAGAGCCTGCTAGACCACCTTGGTAAGGTTAATGTTCCCCATTCAGAAGAGGCTGGAAAATAATGGGGCCAGTGTCAGCATAATCCCTTGCATGTTTACTTGGAACCTACAGGGTTCAATTGGGGCAGTTGAGTATCCTGTATCTTCACGCACAAAACATTTTGTTCAATATACAGGGGCCTCATTAAAGGATAAAAGACAATCCAAGCTAGTCCAGAAATCAGAGTGCCTTGTCCTTGCCCAGGCCCAGCACACAGGAAACTATCATACATGGGATGAATGAATTTACAAGCATGGGAAAGGCTTTCTGTATGACAGTAATAAAAGGCTCACCTACTTGGGAGCTCGCTGAAGATGTGGGGACTTTTCTCACTTAAGACAAACAGGCTTGGAAATTGCTTCGCCATAACCAGATGCATGCCCCTTTCCAAAAACCTACACACACCTGGCTCAACTAATGTGACACTATTGCTGCTGGGCTACACCACCACTCTGAGCAATTTGGAGCATCCCTGGACAGAAGGGAAACAAAATTTTACCTCCTGAAGGAAGCACTCCTTCCCCTTGTGAGCAGTCCTAGTCACCCATTTTGTCTCTCCAATCCCAGCAATCAATCTCTTTATTTTATTTAATTAATTAATTTCTATGCCGCCCCATTTGCAAAACGCCTTGGGGCGGCTTACATTTTTGTATTCCAGACAAAAATCAGGTGAGGCAGCCCTGCGTTAACACCCTCAAATCTGCACATCAGCGGCTCCAGTCACACCCTTGAGGCCACCGGCCAAGACTGTGGCAAAGGGACTTTCTAGCGGGTGTTCCAGCCGCCACCTATTTGAACAGCGCTCGGAAAGCAACCTCGCCTCCAAGAGACCGACTTCCAAGGGGGGAAGGCGCCAAGTGGGCCCCCCTCTGCCTCGGGCTCGCCAGCTGGCTTACCTGAAGCTGTTCTCCCCGCCCCCCATCCCCGGGAGACCAAAATTTAGGGTGACCCAAATTTTAGCCGACTGTGACACCATGCCCCGGGTTGTAGGCACGTCCTCCCGGGGCTGGCCTGAAAACCCGGGGGACGGGGACGGGGACGGGCAGAGCGCGGGAAAGCGCGGAGCCCTCCCATCTCCAAGGCCCCACAGGCTTCCTGTTACTCCCGGGAAACCACGACCCCGGGGGCGCCCCGCAGGCACAGGATCCGGCCACGAGGCTCTCGAACAGCCCGACGGCCTCGCCCCTCCCGGCGGGCAGCCCTCCGGCGCCCCCACCGGCCCGGGGGCTCCGCGGGCTGCGCGAATGGGCGAGGCCGGGAGCCGGAGCTGCCCGACCGGCCGCGCTCGGCCTCCCCGCGGCCCCGGCGCCCTTCGGAAAGCGGGCCTGGGCCCGGGGCGGAGCTGCGCCCCCGGTCGGGGGAGGCGCCGGAAGGGGCAGGGGGCTTCTCCCCAGCACGGAGTACGCCTGCGTGGGACGGTGGGCGCGCGCCCCACCGCCGTGGGGGCGCCGCGACCCTTCCCCGCCGCCCCTGTCGCCGGCCGGCCGGCTGGCTGGCTCGCTCGCTCACTCACCCCGCCGGCGGCGGCGGCCCCGCTTCTCCGCCCTCCCGCGGGGCCGATCGCGGCGCGGGCAGCTGCAGCGGAGGTTCTCCTCCTCCTCACCGCGACCAGCCTCAGCGGGCTACGAATCCCGGGCGGCGGCGGCGGCGAGCCGCCTCGCAGCCCTGGCGCCTCCTCGGCGGCGGGGCAACGCCATCTTGTCTCCGTCGCCCACACGCCCCCACTCCGCCCCCTCCCGCCCCGTCCCGTCCCGCGCGGAGAGTTGCGTCATCGCGCCGGTCACGCGACGCGGAGGGCGCGGCCGCGCGCGGGAAGGACGGGGCCGAGGGGACCAGGTCTCGGGGTTTGACCGCGATTTCCGGCTGGCAGGCGGCGGGGGCGTCCGAGTGGCCCGGGAGCGCGCGGGTTTATGTGGGCATTCGCGACTTAATCAGAATAATGTAGGTTGTCTGTTAAGATGCACAGTCCTCTCGAGGCAGCTTTTAAGCACAGAGATTAACATCCGTGGTGGACTTGCGAAATAACGAAAAAAAATGGAAATTGAGACCTGCAGAGATGCAGAAAATCTTTAAAATTCAGTTTCCTATGAGACCCAAGAATATGCTTTTGAATATTGTTCCGGGGCTCCTTTTAAAAAAATATGGCAGAGTTATTTAAGTATACGACAACGGCGGCAAGAATTACAATTGCTTTTAAATAGAAATCATTGGAGCCCCCAAAAATGGAAGAATGGAGAAACAGATGAGTGGAATATGCGGTGATGGCAAAGTTAACTAATTATGTAAATAGAAGACCATTAGAAAAATGTATTGATAAATGGAAATTTTATTATGCTCAGCACGACTACTCGGAGTTGAGGGGAGTTTGAAAAGGAGAAGGAAAAGCAGTAGAGTTTGAAGTGACTAGAGGATTTGTTGCATAGCGTAATGGTTTTTTTTCTGTTAAACTCTCATAGAGTGTTGAAAGATAGGAACATCGATTGAACCTACTGAATGTATAGGCAGTATTTGTTTAAAATTCCCATGACAACTTTGCTCACTGAGTTTGGTTTAGTTTGTGTATATATTTTTTTCTGTCTTACATTTCTCTCAATGTGTCTGTATATGTTAAGAAAATTTATTTAAAAAAAATAGACATTGTTGGGAAAATTCGGATAAATCCTGGCAGAAAAGGGTTGCTTATATGTGCCTTTATATTATAAAATATAATATAAAATCAAATCTGCACCCCTTTCTCAAAAAGCATCCGGTTTCTAAGCTAGGTTACAGTTTAGCATTTGCCCTAAGTTTAAGAAGTGGGACCTGATGGCTTTCCCCGAAGCTGCCAGGGCGGCTGTTTTGCTGATCAGTAAGAGCTGATAAGGCTGCCAGGTTGACAGCATTGCAGCCCCCCTCATTTGCATGCCAAGACCCACAGAAATCCCTGTGCCTCAGTGATTGTTGCTGTTAGTCACGAAGTCTTGTCCCATCGCGACCCCATGGACAACGTTCCTCCAGGCCTTCCTGTCCTCCACCATCCCCTGGAGTTCACTCAAGCTCACACCAACCGCTTCAGTGACCCCATCCAGCCACCTCATCCTCTGCCCTCCCCTTCTTTTGCCCTCAATTGTTCCCAGCATCAGGCTCTTCTCCAGGGACTCCTTCTCATTAGGTGGCCAAGTATTTGAGCGTCATCTTCAGGATCTGGCCTTCTAAGGAGCAGTCAGTGATGTCTCTGCTTTTTAGTATGCTGTCTAGATTTGCCATAGCTTTCCTCCCCAGGAGCAAGCGTCTTTTAAGTTCTTGGCTGCAGTCCCCATCTGCGGTGATCCTGGAGCCCAGGAAAGTAAAATCTGTCACTACCTCCATTTCTTCCCCATCTATTTGCCAGGAAGTGAGAGGACCGGATGCCATGACCTTAGTTTTCTTAATGTTGAGTTTCAAGCCAACTTTTGCGCTCTCCTCCTTCACCCGCATCAAGAGGCTCTTTAGTTCCTCTTCACTTTCTGCCTTGAGAGTGGTATCATCTGCATATCTGAGGTTGTTGATATTTCTCCCAGCAATCTTAATTCCAGCTGGTGATTTCATCTAGCCCTGCCTTTCTCATGATGTGCTCTGCATATTAGTTAAATAGGCAGGGCTATTTATTAGTTAAATAGCCTTGCCGAACTCCTTTCTCAATTTTGAACCAATCAGTGGTTCCGTGTCCAGTTCTCACTGTTGCTTCTTGACCCGCATATAGGTTTCTCAAGAGACAAATACAATGGTCTGGTACTCCCATCTCTTTAAGAACTTGCCACAATTTGTTGTGATCCACACAATCAAAGGCTTTAGCACAGTCAATGAAGCAGAAGTAGATGTTTTTCTGGAACTCCCTAGCTTACTCCATGATCCAGCATATGTTGGCAATTTGATCTCTAGTTCCTCTCCCTCTTCAAAATCCTGCCTGTACTTCTGGTAGTTCTCGGTCCATGTACTGCTGGAGCCTAGCTTGTAGGATTTTGAGCATCACTTTGCTAGCATGTGAAATGAGTGCAATGGTGCAGTAGTTCGAACATTATTTGGCATTGCCCTTCTTTGAGATCGGAATGTAAACTGACCTTTTCCAATCCTGTGGCCACTGTTGAGTTTTCCAAATTTCCTGGCATATCGCGTGTAGCACTTTTACTGCATCGTCTTTTAGGATTTTGAATAGCTCAACTGGAATACTGTCTTTTAGGATTTTGAATAGCTTTGTTGTTGCTCAGACTTCCTAAGGCCTATTTGACTTCACATTCCAGGATGTCCGGCTCGAGGTCAGTGACCACCCCATCGTGGTTGTCAGGGACATTAAGTAAGCTCTTTCTTGTATAGTTCCTCTGTGTAATCTTGCCATCTCTTCTTAATCTCTTCTGCCTCTGTTAGGTCCCTGCCATTTTGGTCCTTTATCATGCCCATTGCTTCCCTTCTTTCCTCAGCTATTTGTAAAGCTTCCTCAGACAGCCATTTTGCTTTCTTGCATTTCTTTTTCTTTGGGATGGTTTTAGTTGCTGCCTCCTGTACAATGTTGCGAACCTCCATACATAGTTCTTCAGGCACTCTGTCTATCAGATCTAATTCTTAAATCTATTTGTTACCTCTACTGTATATTCATCAGGGATATGATTTAGGTCATACCTGAGTGGCCTAGTGCTTTTCCCAACTTTCTTCAACTTAAGCCTAAATTTTGTAACCAGAAGCTCATGATCTGAGCCACAGTCAGCTCCTGGTCTAGTTTTTCCTGACTGTATAGAGCTTCTCCATCTTTGGCTGCAGAGCACATAGTCAATGTGATTTCTGTGTTGACCGTCTGGTGATGTCCATGTGTAGAGTCGTCTCTTGGGTTGTTGCAAAAGAGTGTTTGCTATGACCATCGTATTCTCTTGACAAAGTTCTACCAGCCTTATGCATTATGTTAATATCCTGCAATCAAATGCCCCCTCTGAGCCCCCTCAGGATTGAGCCCCCTCTGCAGACCTCTCACCTTCTTCTGACTGTGTTCCCCTTATTTAGTCATCTGGGCCCATGTGACTCAGAATCTATTAAACACTCTGTGTATGCTCTGAAAGCTTGCAGTTGCCGGAGGAGACCACTACCTGGTCGGATGCTGTCGTAAGTCACTGCAGGGGCCTAGGTGATCTAACCAATAAAAACGCCGGGGTTCAAGGCAATTCCGTCTTCCCTGCGACTCCTGGTAATTCATTCTTGCCATTAGTAAAGAGACTCTTGACAACATCAACTATAATGATAATAATAAAGTGACAAGGAAGAACCCACCCCCAGCACGATGACAGTCAGAACCTCCTGCAGGTCTATAAAAAGTAAAACTTAGGAGAAGGCCAAACGAAGCAACTGGGTTTGAACTTTTTCCTAAGAGTCTAATAGATTTACAGTAATAGCAAATTCACTGGGAGCCAGTGTGGAGTAGTGGTTAAGTGCTTGGGCCTGAGACTCGAGCAGTCTGGGTTTGAGCCCCCGCTCAGCCCAGCCATGGAGCCCGCTGGGTGGCTTTGGCCAGTCACAGACTCTCAGCCCAGCCTACCTTGCAGGGTTGTCGCTGTGGGGACCCACAACACACACACTGCCAGGAAGAGTATCTTGGGAAACCTGGTCAGATGCTTTGCTGAAATCAAGGCATCTGACGTCCACAGCATTCCCGTGATCCACCTTACTGGCATCTTTATGGGAAAAGGACGCCGGATTGGGCTGCCGTGCCTTGCCCTGGAAAGCCGGTGTCGCCCCCTCGAATCGGAACCAGGGCGCCATTGATAGTCCTGGCGCCCACAGACCGGCCGCTTAATCCCCACGTTGAGCTTTCGGGCTGCTGCACCCTCCATCCCAGTCCTCAAGCGCCTCCCCCGCTCTCTGGGACGTCTCCGGGATTACAGGCGGGGTGGTGGAATAATGCTTTGGGGTCAGGATCCCCCTGGCCTGGAGACCCGAGTCGTTCCAGTGGCCATACGTCCCCTGACCGTGTCCTTCCCCGTTCGGGGCTGCAGATCCCTCCAAACATCATCAGCTCTGCCAGTCCCAGGCTGAAGGCAGCTCCCCTCGTGGGAGAGGGCCGAGGCGAAGGGGGTGCTGAGCCGCTGCCCCTTCCCTTGGCTAACATTTACTGCCTTCCTTACGCACGGCCTGCCCTCCCACCTTCCTCTTGCCCCTCGCACAGCCGAAGGAGCCCCTCTGGTTGCGTTCAGCATCCCTCACCAGCCTCATCGGGGCCTCTGCCTGCCCGGCCCCTGCCTTATAGGGCTTGGTCTGCCGTGGTCTGGTTGGATGCCCCCTTCCTTCTTCGGAGTTGTCTGGGCAGCCCCCTCGTTCTTGAAGTGCTCCTGCCCCATTCCTCCTCTTCATGGGAGCAGCTTGAGGTTGATCGCACCCGCAGGATTTCCGTTTTCAGCATCTCCCAGCCCCCTGAGCCCCTTATTTCCTCCAGGGGATTTGCCTCTGAGGTTTTGGCAGTGGGCCTTCCTGAGCTCTGCTAGAAACACTCTTTCCTTCAGAAGAGAAAAATATTCCAAGCACACAGAGAGTTCATCCTGAAACTTTATTGCAACAAAGGTAGTTCGAGAGGTTTCCTTCCCATCTCCTTCCCAACTCAACTCAGCACATGTTCACATCTCATTTTTATTTATTACTGTATTTATTGCATTTATATACCACCCCAATAGCCCAAA